CTTTGCCAAGAAAATCTCAAATCGGGTCAGACACAACTGAAAAACGACTCAACAATGACAGCTAGTTATGTGACCCTGGGCAGGCTAACTTCTCTGAACCTCAGTTAACCTTATCTGTAAAATGGAAGCAGTCATACTTTGACCACATACCTCATAGATTTCTTGTGAGGAAAGCACAATGTAAATGTGAGCTGTGATGATGTTGATGATGTTAGTATGAGTGTCTGTGTGTTGGAGTATATTTATATAAATGACAGTGTCTGTGTGAGCTCATGGATTTGAGGACAGGGGGCCTGAGCCTGAATCCTAGTTTGTCCAACTTACTGCTGAGATGAGCTTTCAGAGAACCATTTAACTTCTTTGAATCCCAGCTTCATCATCTGTAAAGTGAAGTAGTTACATTAAATGATCTCTTAAGGTCCCTTCCGGCCCTCACATTCTTTACCCTGTGTCCCAAGGTTCCTTCCAGCTCAGACATTCTATGGCTCCATGGGGCATCTTTATGTATGAGTGTCTTTCTGGTGTTTGTGGACATGAGCGTACTCCTTTGGGATTTCAGTCTTTTTTCTATTCTCCAAGAGTCTTCTGTGACTCAGTCCTGTTTCTAACTTTTTCTTTGTGCAAATGTATGTATGATTGTGTGTATGTGTGTTCACTGGGTCCTATCCCCTAGTGAGTCCCCTTAATCGCAGCCAGCCTCTCTCCCCTCCCCTTTCTGGTCTCTCTGGTTTCAGCCACCATCCTAAAGAAAACAGCTCTGAGTCTGCAGCAGGAAATCACTATTTGGGCTGCAGAGGTGCCTCTTCCTGAGGCTGAGCTCTAAGCAAAGGCCCGCCCCCACCTCACAACTCCTCTCTAAGCATCAGGCTTGGGGCTGGGACCCCAGTGACCTCCTTGCTGACCTCAAGTGGACCTGAAGGTCACATATCAGCTTGAAGAACAGATCTTTCTATCCTTATGCCCATTAGGCTCCCAAAGAGGGGGGAGCCCCAGTTTTAGCTGTGAGGTCAGCAAAAAAAGTGGGAGGGGGAGATGAGCCCCAGAGTTCCTTGGACGCCACTGCCTCATTCAGGCAGCTAGGTGGTGCAGTGACGGAATGAGGGACCTGGAATCAGGAAGATCTGAATTCAAGGCTGAACACAGATCCTTACTAACTTGGGGACTGGGCAAGTCACTTAACCTTTGTCTGCCTCCGTTTGCTCAACTGTAAAATGAGGACAATAATAGCATTTATCTTGCAGGGTTGTTGTGAGGATCAAATGAGATAATATTTACAAAATTCCTGGCACATAGTAGGTGCTTAATAAATGCTTATCCTTCTTCTCTCTCCCACCCATCCACATGGAAGCAGGAAATAGTATGCGGTGAAACTGAATGAATGCTTGGGTGGGAGTTAGGAGACGTGGTTTCAGGTCCTCATTCTGTCAATAACTCGTTACATGACCATGGGTGAGTCCTCTCTGGACCTCAATGGCCTCATCCACATTTTGTTGTTTGGTCATTTCAGTCATGTCTGACTTTTTGTGACCCCATTTGGGGCTTTCTTGGCAAAGATACCAGAGTGGTTTGCCATTTCCTTCTCCAGTTCATTTTACAGATGAGGAAACTGAGGCAAACAGGGTTAAGTTACTTGCCCAGGGTCACAAAGTTAATAAGTATCTGAGACTGGATTTGAACTCAGGTCCTCCTGGCACTCTACCCACTGCACCACTCAGCTGCCTCTCTCATCTGTATAACCAGACCATTAGACTAGATCAAGGATTCTAAACATGGGGTCTATGCTCTTGATTTGTAAAATATTTTGATAATTATATGACTATATAATTGGTTTCATTTGTATTTTATTTTCTGCACTGAAAAAATATCCTGAGAAGGGGTCTCTAGGCTTCACCAAGTTGTCAAAGGGCACAAAAAAGGGTTAGGTATCTTATGGTCTAGGGCTCATTCTAGCTCTAGGATTCTAGGATACTGTGTTTGGCTCTGGAGGCTGAAAATTTTTCCTTTGAGACTTGAGGAGGCTGGGGAATCCTTTTCTCTAACACAGCATGCCCTCTCATCTGCATTCTCATCCCTCTCATCTTATTCTACTGCATGACATCTCTTTAGAGACTGTATAGACCCCATGTATCTAAATCCTATTCATTCATTCACTCACTCACTCATTCATTCATTCCATAAATATACATGAAAGTCTTCATTGTGTTACATCATACGCTAGGCATGGAGGATACTTCGATGGATATGGCAAAGACTCTGCTCTCAAGGGGCATACAATCCAATAAGGAGGGAAAGAAATGTACAAATATCTCTGTTGCAAGAAAGAGTTGGATAAAGGGAGACAACATGCTATAGTGGGGAAGAAAAACAGGCTCTCGACCTGTCAGAAGACCTTTATTCAAATCCCATGTTCAATACTACTTGGGTGACCTTGGGCAAATCACTTAACCTCAGTTTCCTCATCTGTAAAATGAGTGCATCAGACATCATGTCCTCCGAGCTCTAAATCTATGATCCTAAGTCACTTAACCTCCCTGGGCCTCAGTTTCTTCATCTGTGAAATGAGGAGGTTGCTAGCTTCTGAGGTCCCTGCCAGCTCTCAATGGAGGCTCCAACAGATTGTGAGGTCCTTGAGAGCTGTCTTCTACCTTTCTTTGTATCCCCAGCACTTAGTGATTGGCACACAGTAAGTGCTTAATGTTTACTCACTGGCTGAGGATGACCTTATACTTTCGAAGGAGAAGTCCGCAAAGTGCTATGACAAATAGAAGGAAGGAGAGATCACTTGGGGCAAGTCTGGCAGACAGGGCAGGGAGAGTAATCAGGAAAGGCATCATGACTGAGATGGACCTTGAAAAAAGGAAGGATTCTGATAGAGATAAGGAGTCTAATCTCAAAAGCGGATTGGCTTCAGCAAATAGTGATCAGAGACAGTAGAATGAGAAAAAGAACAGTTCAGTTTGACTGAAGCATAGAACATATGAAGGAAAGTAGTGCATCAGATTATGGAGGGCCTTGAATGCCAAGAACAAGAATTGTTACTATATTCGGTAGGCATATGGAGTCACTGACAGGTTTTGAGTAAAGGAATGGTGTGATCAGAACCATGGCATCTTCCCAATGTTTGTTGTGGAGGCAGCAACATGAGGGATGGATTTGGAAGGGTAGACTAGTTTGGGAACTCTGGTTAGGGAAGAAGGGAAGGGAATATGAATTTATGTAGTGTCTATGTTGTTCCAGGCACTGTGCTAAGTACTTTTTACAAATATTACCACATTTGATTTTCACAACAACCCTGGGAGATAGGTGCTATTATTATCCCCATTTTACAGTTGAGAAAACTGAGGCAGATAGCGGTTAAGTGACTTGTCCAGGGTCATCCAGCTAGGAAGTGTTTGAGGCTGAATCCCTGAGCCAGATTAGTCTAGGTGAACTAGACTAGTCTAGGTGAACTAGACTAGTAAATGTAAACTCTTGGAGGTTTGGTTTGGTTTTGTACCCCAGGATCTACCTTAGTGCTTTGCACATGGTTGGCACTTAACAAAAGCTTTTTCATTTTAATTTAGTTGAAAAAGGGTCTGGACCAAAGTGGGCAGTGGGAGTTGAGAGAAATCAGAAGAGTAAGGCCTGGTTCAAACCCACCTCTTTTTTTGGGGGGGGGCAATAGGGTTAAATGACTTGCCCAGGGTCACACAGCTAGTAAGTGTTATGTATCTGAGGCTGGATTTGAACTCAGGTCCTCCTGAATCCAGGGCCGGTGCTCTATCCACTGCACCACCTAGCTGCGCCCAAATCCACCTCTTTTGTAAAGCCTTGTCTGTTTATCCTTGTTCACACTAATTCCTACCTTACCTGAGCTTCCCCACTGCCAGAATCAATGTAAAGTTTATGTTTTCTCTAATTATTTTATATGTTAGTCCTGTCTCTTGAGTTAGATTATAAGCTACTTGAGGGAGCCCACATTTCTGCTTCTCTGAATCCCCCTTCCCACCCTCCCCTGCTCCCCACACAGGGCCTACCTCAGTGTTGGACAGAGTCAGTGACGGTTGTCTTCGGTATGTGGGTCCTCCTTCCTCAGCTTTCTCTTTTCCAGGTTCAACAGTTCCTATTCTTTTTACTTTTGTCAGAGCTAACTCACCTACCAGGCCCTGGTTATCACTCAAGGGACAGGCCCTTCTGGGTTCAGACGCAGGACACTGTCCAGGGTGGATCTCTCTCCATCATTAAAAAAGATCACCTCCCCGGCTCTTGTTGGGGATCTTCTAAAAGGGGAGAGGGTGGGGATTTTTCAGAATTTCCACTCCCAGACGTACCATCACACCCAGCCCTCTTCCTCCTCGATCCCAACCCCAGTCAGGGACAGGGGCTGGTTAGATTGCCAGCCTAGGGCCTTAGAGAGTGTGCCAAGGCAGGGGTCATCCATGTCCCTAGGCACCATTCCCCTGCTGGCACGGGAATTGCTTCTTGCCTTGGAAGAAGGCATCCTAGGGAACAGGCTCTGAAAAGTCAGAGTCAGCAGGACATTAATTAATTGAAACCGAACACATCTGTTGTTAATTAATTTCCACGCCAGGGGTTAACTCCTTCCTCCCAGACCCCTGAATGTCTCCTGCAGCCAGGCCCATTCAGAACTATTACTTTTTGTGGGAGAACAGAAAAGGGCCATGGGCATCCAGCCCTCTGGTCTCCCATACCCACCCCTAAGAGAGTGACATAGAATTGGGATGGGCGTGTTGGGCGCTCTAAGAAATGGGCCATCTTGTCTGTTTTGCAAATAGAGTCCTGATCTTGGAGTCAGGAAACCTAGGTTAGGTTCCAATTCTGCAGCTTCCTAGCTCTGTGACATTGGGCAAGACTTAGTTTTCTCATCTGTAAAATAAAGGAGTTGGGTTTAATAATCTCTCATTCCCCTTCTAGCTCCACAGATCTGGCTCTAGAATGATACACTAGGGAAATGTGAAACAGCAAAGATATTTATTTACAGCAACTAACAGGCCTGACCCTCCCCACCATTTCCCTCCCACCACCCATTCCAGTCTCTTCCACGTGGTTCCTCACCCCACCCTTTCCACTGTATTCTCTCTACACACACCCAATCTCTAGGCTTTGCCTTACTCTCCTAGGTCATTATTCAGGTTCACATCCTAGGAAAGCCCAGGAGAAGGGAAAGAGAAAACAGGGGAAGAGGGGATGGGCATGAGAACCCCAATTGAAGTGTCTCTTTTTTTCTTCACATTTAGCTGCCCCAGAGGCTAGGACAGAGTCAGAGAGGGGCTAGGGGTGGTGAAAGGTAGAGAAATTCAGGACTCCTTTCTGTCCCTTCTTTCTTCTCTACCATCTTCAATCCAGGTCCATCCAGCTCACATTCTAGGGAGCCCCACCTAACCCCCAGTTCCTCAACCCAAGAATATTGTTGGCTGGCAGGGTCCCTTCCTCCCCAAGGCTCCTCTCCCTTGACTTTCACAGTGTACTGAAGCCTGGTCCTGAGGATTCCAACACAGGAAGCCAGGTCTTGGCCTACCTCCAGCGTACGGTCCTTTCTAGAATTTCTCCTCAGTTATGCTGGTGCAGGGGCAGAGGACAGGCCCCTAAGACCTTAGACTAATAAATACTTATTGATTGATTCACTAATTATCTGGGACCTCTGGGTCTCTAAGTCTGTCACCACGTGGGATGCTCCCATATCAGGGCTCCTTGCTTAGTCCAGGGTGCTGGGGGTTGAGGAGGAAGGGGTGGGGGAAAGGGGACAGCTATGGTGCCCCCCTGTATCTCTTTCCTCCACTGGCTCTTAACTAGAGCTGTCTCTTCTCACCATGCCAATCTGTAGCTCAAGTCAGCCCCAATCGAATGCTTGGCAAGGAGGCAGTTTGATTTGGAGTGGGGAGTGAGGGGGGGTGGCAGCTTGAGCTGGGAGCCAGCCCTCCCTCCAGGCTCCCCTCTCCCCCAGCACCTCTCCTGGGGCTAGGGGCTAAGAGGAGAAGCAAAGCCCACAACATTCCATGCAGATCTCCAGGCAGTCGGCCGACTCGCAGCAGGCGTCAATGATCCCACAGTCCATGTCACAGGGCAGGTCGCAGTCAGCACATTCCCCCGACCCTCCGCAGCAGCAGCAGCAGATGCAGGAGTCCTCGGAGCATGAGCCGCACGTGGCACAGTCCAAGACAATGTTGCACAGCGTTAAGAACTCGCAAAACAGGCAGGAGAGGATGCAATGTACACAGCAATCTGGTGAGGACAAGGAACAAAAGAGTGAGAAGGAAACGGAAATAGTGGAAGCGCTGTGAATAAAATGCTAGAGTCTAAGATCTGGAGCTGCGGGGCACCTTTTAGCTTGTCTAATCTAATCCCCTCATTCTACAGATGAGGAAACTGAGGCCCAGAGAAACAAAATCATTTGCCTAAAGTCACACCCATAGCATATGGTAGAGATGGGATTTAAACCCAGACCCTCAGATTCTAGGGTCAGCTAGATGGTATAGCAGATAGAGTGCCAGGCCTGGAGTCAGGGAGTCCCCATCTTCCTGAGTTCAAATCCAGCCTCAGACACTTACTAGCTGTGACCCTGGGTAAGTTACTTAACCCTGTTTGCCTCAGTTTCCTCATCTGTAAAATGAGCTGGAGAAGGAAATGGCAAACCACTCCTATATCTTTGCCAAGAAACCCCCAAATGGGGTCTGGAAAAGTCAGAGATGAGCGAACAACAACTTCTGCCTCAAAATCCAACTCTCTTTCCCCTGTATCATCCTGCTTCCCAATTCTAGACTCAGAAATCCTGAGACGGGACCTTAGGAGTCAGCTAGTCTAACTCTTTCTTTTTATAGGAAGCTGATGCCCAGAGAGGGGAGGCGGTTTACATAAAGCCACCCAGTAGGTCAGTAGTAAAGCCAGTAGCAGAAAACTCAGGCTTCCTTGGCAGAGCAAGAGCTAATAATTTTGGGAAGCAGAACAAAGCTTCAAACAACACAGCCGGAGTAAACAGCATAAAATGTGTCCTCAAATCAACTTTTAAAAACTAAGTTAGTTGATTGGAAAGGTAGAAACCCTAGAAACTCTTCAGGAGTGAGGATAGAGGGGAGCAGGCTGGGGCTGGTTCTGAGCTCCCTTTGGTTTTAAGGACACCAGGGGAGGGATTATCATTTAATGGCTTCTTATTTTAATTTATTGTTCTTATTAATCTGAGGACACAATTAGATGAATCTGCTCTCATTTCAGAGTGCTATCAGGGCCCTCTAAATTTTGGTGCCCTGGGGAAAAATCCCAGTCACCTCACCCTAGTTCCAGCTTGGCTCCTGACTCCTGGCTCAGTGCTCTTTCCACTACCCTGGGCTAAATCTTTCTCAGGATAGCCACTGGATTTCTGCACTTGAGAGAGCTGGTTGTTCAAAGGAGTCCTACAAAGAGTACTCCTACAAAGCAAATGACTGATTTTTTCTGAAGTCCAGCTGCACTTACATTCTGCTACTGGGCCACACATTCAGCATTTGATTCCATACTGCTTTGTATTGTTCTTTGATGATTTTTCTCCTATTTATCTTGTTTCCCAATTTGTGCGACTCAGTGGGGGTGGCGGTAGAGATAAGCATTTATATAGCGTCTATTATGTTCCAGTTACTGTGTTAAGTATGTTACAAATATTATCTCACTGGATCCTATTAACAACTCTGCAGGATGAGTGCTATTGTTATCCTCATTTTACATTTGAAGAAACTGATACAGGCAGAGATGAAATGATTTGCCCAGGGTCACACAGCTAGTAGTAGTAATAATAGTAATAATAAGTAATATTTATATAGCACCACTGTGCTAAGTACTTTACAATTATCATCTCATTTGACCCTCCCAACCCTGGGAGGTTAGAGGTGCTATTATTATGCCTATTTTACGGATGAGGAAACTGAAACAGGCAGAGATTAAGTGACTTGCCCAGGGTCACAGAGCTAGTAAGTATCTGAGTCCAAATTTGAACTCAGATCTTCCTGACTACAGGCCCATCATTCTATCCACTGAGCCACCAGTTGCCTCAAGGGCAAGGAACCAAATCTTCTGCTTTTCCCAGACCCCCACAGGACTGGGCACACAATAAAATGTTGGTTTACTGATTCCATATTTCCACTTGACTTCAGGTGGAGTACACTGATAAGAAGAGGGTGACAGAATCATAGGGTCAGAGTTCTTAAACCAGAAAGAACCTCAGAGATTATTGTCCAACCCCCTCATTTTACAGATAAGGAAACTGAGACCCAAGGAGGTTAAGAGACTTTCACAAGGTCATATGGATGGTAAGTAACAGAGCTATATTTGAACTCAAGTACTTACTATGAGGGGCAGGGATAGACCTGAAGTCAGGAAGACTCATCTTCCTGAGTTCAAATCTGGCCTCGGACACTTACTGTATGACCCTAGGCAAGTCACTTAACCCTGTTTGCCTTAGTTACCTCATCTGTCAAATGAGCTAGAGAAGGAAATGGCAAACCATTCCAGTATCTTTGCCAAGAAAATTCCAAATGGGGTCACAAAGAATGGGCCATGACTAAAAACAACTGAACAACAACAAAACTTTCTATGATTCCAAATCCAATTTTCATTATGGTATATAGTATTTAAAGCTCAAGGCCTTAGGACACACTTAGTAAAATGCCTCCCTCCCATTTTTACAGAGGATGCTACTAAAGATCAGAGAGGGCACGTGACTTATCCAGGGCCACACAGTAAAGATCAAATTGAAATCAGTTCTACAAATCCACTACTCTTTTCCATAAACTTTACTGGATCAGAAAACCTATTCCCGGTGGCTCTGGTTATACTGTAATGACAGTGACGTAATTGGGGTGGAAGGGCACCCTTCCCAAGCACTCAATTTCTTTTTTTTTTTTTTGGTGAGGCAATTGGGATTAAGTGACTTGCCCAGGGCCACACAGCTAGTAAGTGTCAAGTGTCTGAGGTCAGATTTGAACTTAGGTTCTCCTGACTCCAAGGCTGGAGTTTCATCCACTGAGCCACCTAGCTGCCCCTCCAAGCACCCAGTTTCAAGCAATTGGATACATAGAGTGCCATGATTTACCTTTTCTGAAAGAGTTTTGGAGTAAGATTTTTCTTGTTTTGTTCTTACCTTCCTGAGCCTCAATGGGGATCTGGGAAGCCGATGATTTTGTGCTCCCTTTGCTTTTCTTGCTGCCCTGGCTGGCGAATGATGAGTGTGGCTGCAGCTTCCGGTGGGCTTTGGGGCCACCCAGTGTGCCGTTCCCTGACCTCTTGGGGCCAGCCGCTTCCAGGGAATGGCCAGCACCATTGGGCAATAGCGGGGTAAAGCTGGAGGGCCCAGGAAGTCCCCTTGGGGAGGGAAGCCCCTGAGGCTGGCCTGGGAAGAGAAGGAAAAAGGGAAGGGGCTAGGGAGCCTCCAGGAGCCCCCATGGGCCCAGGATGCCAGATTAGTCCCCAGGAGAGTCTTCTTACTTAGAAGTCATAAGTTCATAAAATCATAGATGCCTAGAATATCAGAATATGGATAGACCTTGTGATATAGACTGTCCAAACTCAGAACCTTAGAACACAGAATGTTTAAACAGAACACGATGTCAGAGTTGGAAGGAACACAGAATGTCAGAGCTTAGACAGACCTTAGGATATAGAATGTTCAACTGCAGAGTAGTAGAACTAGAAAGGGCCTTAGAACATAGAATGTTTAAACACAGAATGTTAGAATGGGAAGGGACCTTAGATCACAGAATGTTAGAACCCAAAACACAGCATGTCAGAGCTTGGACAGACCTTAGGATAGAGAATATTTGAACGGAATATCAGAACTAGAAAGAAACTTAGAACATAGAATGTTTAAACACAGAATGTTAGCATGGGAAAGGACCTTAGAACACAGAATGTTAAAATACAAAACACAGAATGTCTGAGCTTAGAGGGACCCTTAAACATAAAGAATGTTTAAACACAGAACAGAGAATGGGAGGGACTTCAGAGACCATAGTCTAAGCTGTTCATTTTACAGAAGAGAAACATGAAGTCCACAAGAGTTTCTGATTGGCCCCAAATCTCAAGGTGAGTTTTCCGCAGAGTTTGGACTATGACCCAGGTCTCACGACTCTGGTCTAGTGCTCTTTGCACTATGCCAAGCTGCCTCATTCCCAGGGATGACTGGCTATTTGGGGTAGAGGAGATAAGATAATCCACCCTTGTAGTTTTAAGTATTGTGTATTTGGAAAGTACACTGACCCTCCTAGACTATGTCCCTGAGATTGACCCTCATTTCTTGGGACCACAGCTTCCCTATCCTGCTCAGAGACTTATTTTCTCCCCTGAGAAGGAGAGAAAAAGATCTGAGTTCTCAGAGGGCAGTGGGGAGGAATAGGCACGGAAGCAGTTAACCAGCAGCTCCTCCCTGCCCCCCAACCCCAGCCATTTCTGCCCTTCACGTGATGGGGGGGGGAGTTATTGGAAACATCTGTTTGGAGAGGAATGTCCTTCCCACCTTCTCTTCCCCAGCCTCCCTAGAACCTAGGGCAGGGGTGTGGCCCTCTAGGTCCTCAAGTGCAGCCCTTTGACTGAATCCAAACTTCACAGAACAAATTCCCTTAATAAAAGGATTTGTTTTGTAAAATTTCGACTTAGTTAAAAGGCTGCACCTGAGGACCTAGAAGGCCACAGGTTCCTCACCCCTGACCTAGGGGCTGTCCCCATACTCACTCTCTCTCTCTCTCTCTCTCTCTCTCTCTCTCTCTCTCTCTCTCTCTCTCTCTCTCTCTCCCCTCCTCTCTTTCTCTCCTTCTCTGCTCCCTCTTGAACCTCTCTGCCCTGGCCCAAGACCACAGCCTTAGGTAGCAGCCTACTTTTGATGGAAGGGAGCTTAGGGGGAGACGGAAGAAACGAGCCCACTGAAGTAAGGAACTATTTGGTTGAGTTTCAGGCGCAGGGACTAGATTCTGTGTCAATGGGGCAGGATCTGGTTAAGCTCTGAGAGGTCCCTGAGCCACTAACCCAGCCTCCAGGCTGCTTCTTGTCCCTCCAGCATCCCACCCCACCCTCATGGCACCCACACTTCCCTTGAAGTTAGGGAAACAGTGGTGTCATAGTTGGGGGCTGGAGGCTGCTCAGAGCTCCCAGATCTCTGCAAAGACTTCCTTAGTCCTGGGGCAGGCAACCCCCTTCCCTCCAGTCACTTACAAACTTGGGAACCTGGAAATCTGTCCTGCCTGAAGACACAGGACAGATGGCTACTTAGGTGATTGTTGCTTAGCTCCCCAACACCCCCTGTTCTAGAACTCTTTGTTGAAGCCTGTGTTCCTTGCAACTTGGAGCTGGGGCTAAGAAGGAGAGATAGGGACCGAGGGGAGGGGTGCTGGGAGCTAGCTTCCAAAGGCTAAGTCATAGGGGACTGAGAAGTAGTGGTAAGAGATGAGGCAGGGAATAAGGGAAAGGGGGCTAACGAATTCTAATGTGGGGACTAAAGACCAGACTCTAGGGGACAGAAGACTGAGAACCCCAGACAGGAAAACTCTGAAGGGACAGGGGAATAACATATAGATGGCAACAGACAAGAGACTTGAGGCCTGGGGGGAAAGAGGACTGAAGAAAGAAGCCTGGAAAACAGAAGAATGACAGAGATAAGGACCCCAAAACAGGGACAATAGAACAGAAACTAGGGGAGGTGAAGCTAGAAGACAAAGGGCTGGTAGACACTGGAGGAAAATGACACTAAAGACAGGCTTCATGCTGGGTGCTCTTTTGGGGGCTGCCTTAGAGATATATAAATTGGGGAGGAATTACACCATCAGGAGTTCTCAGTCCTGTTCTGGATCCTTTCTATTCCATTCTAGCCACTGTGATGGGAACAGCTACTTCCCAGAGTCCTTGAGGGTTCTCCTATACCCCCTACTCTGCCTCCCACACCACAAATCTCCTTCTTGGAACCAAATGTATATGTGGCCAGGGCCTGGGTGGGAGGAGGTGAGGCTGTGGGAGGGAGACACAGAGGCTGCCTATGCTTTTGGAGGTGGGGATGGGGGACAGGGAGCTGAGTCACAGAGCAAACACCAGAGTCCACTAGACACAAGGGGTATCTGTCTAAATCTGACCCCATGCTATCTTCCCCTATGCCCAGAAAGCTGACTTCTTTCTCCTTTATGTCCACGGGTCATGTTGGGGAGGGAGCAGGGAGAGAGGGCGATAAAACCCCCAGATTTCTAGAATGCAAAACATGGCTCTGGATGGCCTGACCACGCACTCCACCCCCAGCCCCAGGTACAGGGTTGTCTCCAGCCCTTGCCTATCAGGTGCATGGGCTAGATTCAGAATCTTGGAGGGATAGGAATGTCCCTTTTCTACCCCTCCCCTTATTCCTCCTTCTCATGACCTCTCAGAATAGGACAGCAGGGTTTCACTGCTCCTTTATCCCCTAGTTCATTTACAAAGGGAAAGAGCTTATTACATAGTTATATCTATTTTTGTATATTTGAATGTATGCACTGATGTATAAATAGAGTTGTAAATACATTTTTAGAATAGACCTGTGATTTCATTCATATAGAGAATGCTTCTCTATACCAGAAAGATTACCACCTGCGCTGCAATTTATAGTCTTAGGAAATTGTGTCTCAGACAGTATCTGGGGCACTGAGAAGCTAAGTGACCTGCTCAGGGCCACACAAGCTCTATGTATGCATGTATGCATGTGTATATATATGTGCATGTGTACATGCATGCTTATGCATATTTTTGTGAAATATGTGTGTTGGGGAGGGATGTATCCCCAACTAGTCTTTAAGCTCCTTGAAGGCATATACTGTTTTCTGTTCCTCTTATATCCCCCCACTGCAATACACATAAGAGGTACCCCATATGAGTTTGTTGAATTCCTTTGCATCCCTCCCCCCTCTAGACTCACATGTCACAGCTTCTGGAGGGATGGCAGGTTCGGTGCTTTCCAGGGCCTTGGGGGGCCCAGGTCCATTACCCTGGGGCATAGGGGGAGCGTCTTCCTTTAGGAGGCCCTCTTCCAGTGCTGCCTCTGAAAAGCTAGTGGATGGTGCTACCTCCAGTTCGGGCAGGAGAGGTGGAGCTGAGGAGAGAACGCATAACTCAGAAACACTTTCCAGGGGCCCTAGGAGGAGGTGCAGTTTTGTGTCTCCCTTGGGCCCCCCTTGCCCATGGTTGGGGTCCTCACACTGCCATCTTTCCCACTGCTCTCCACCCAACCCTTCCCTGGCTGCCAGCAGCCCCAGCCTCAAAATAGAACGTTCCCAAACCACAATGTGTGTGTTGTGCGGAGGGGGTGAGGGCTGTGGCCCAGAGGAGGGGCCGCAGTCACACAGCAGAGTGAAGAGGAGGGAAAAGCAGAGAGCAACAGGAGAGACCCCAACAGGAAGAGAGACTGAGAGATGAGACAACGTAAGCCCTGGTCGGAGAGGAAGGAGAACCAGCTTCTAATTCTAATTCTGCTGCTTATTGGGTATAACTCAGACAAAATGATCTCCCAAAGCCTCTCTTTCCTCATCTGTAAAATGAAGTACAGGATCAGACAGACCAACAATTCAGAAGAGACAGTGAGACACAGAGAGACTCTAAGACAGACACACAGCAGTCTTTAACCTGGGATCCATGAACTTGACTTTTAAATACATATATACATACATACTCTCTCTCTCTCTATATATATATTTATAACTATCTCACCATGATTAGCTTCTTTTGTAAACCTATGTATTTTAATGCATTTAAAAATGTTATCTTGCGAAGGGGTCCCTAGGCTCCACCAGCCTCCCAAAGGGGTTCAGGACACAAGTTAGGGGCTGAGTGTCCCTGACTAAGAGGATCCCTAGTGTTCTTTCCCCCTCTGAGTCTGTGTCTGAGATAGAAACAGTTATAGAGAGAGAAAGAGAAACTAAAAAGAAGAAAGGACATAACTAGACAAAGATAGAGAATAACAGAGACACAATGCCAAAGAAACAGATGGAGAAGTGTAGAGAAAGAAGACAGGGAGAGAAGGGAACAATCATTTATTAAACATTTGCTGTGTCAGGTACTGTGCTCAGTGATTTACAAATATTATGTCCTTTGAGAATGCAAGAGAGAGAGGATGAGAGACAGATAGTACCTGTGTGATCTTTGTCAAGTCACTTAATTTCCCTGGGCCTCAGTCTCCTCATTTTTTTTAAAAGAGGGGTTTTGGATTAGATGGCCTCTGGGGTCTGTTTCAGCACTGGGTCTATAACCTTGTGGTCTATTCTTTAAGACAGATCAATGAATGGGTGTTGTTTAGACAAAAGGAGACCTGGGAAAGACCTTAGCTTAAAAAGGCCAAGGTCTCCCATTGCATCTGGGGCTATCACCAGTTGTCCTGACCTATGTCTTGCCACTGCACTCCTATGACTCTGGAGAAGACAGTGAGGCTGATGACTCCGCATAGCTCTGCCTCACTTAAATCCAATTCACCCACAAGTCAAGACATCAACCTCCTGATGCCATTCATTGGTCTTCCTCCAGAACAAGGGACAAACAAAAACAACAAGACAGACAAAAGAGATAAAGACACAGAATACAGAAAGGGAAAAAAAAAGAGCAGGAGACACAATGAGAGAAAAAAATCAGAGAGAAATAGAGAAGAGAGACAGAGAGACAGCAAGAGTCAGAGGAGAAAGGAAGTGAGAGAAAAGGGAGAGACAAAGAATGAGAGGGCTTGTAGAAGAACTTGAGCTGCCATCTATAATTATAGAGAATGACCCTCTGTACAGTGGGCAGAAGTGGGAGAAACAGAGCCACCCCCAATCCCACAATTATAGTGATTGGGCCAGAGATTCTTGGAGTGGAACCAGCCTGGAAGGCAGGAGAGAAAAGGGGGCTGATTCCCCACCCCCAGGCACGAGAAAGGCCTCTGAATGGTGACCAGAAGAAGAGGGATCAGGGATTAGGTGGCCAGCAAAGTCAGTGGGACGAAGGGTCGCCACAAGCAGCTAGGATGGAATGGAGCAGCCTGGGTCCCCACCAAAGCAAATCACTAGGGAGCCTCTGAAAACAAGGACTCCCAAAGGGAGCTCTGGAACTCCCCTCCCCATTTCTATGATGGTAGAAGGGAAAGACACACCAAAGCACAGGTTCAGACAGACCCATAGGACAACTCATAGGAGACAGAGTGAAAGACAAAGGCTCTAGGATTAAAAAACAGACCAAGACAGGCAGATGTTGAGTCAGGGATAGAAACTAAATCAGAACAGGCCAGTGGGGATCACATACTTTGCCTACCTACCTCTGACTAGCCTCCAAAAGCAGGGAAAAATGGGCAACAAGAGAAACTGAGGTGGGAAACAGAATCAGGCCACCAGACCCTGGCAATAAAAATCTGCCCCAGCATGTGAGAACAAGTTTCACTGGGGTTTGGTGTTCCTTGCCTGGGAGCAGCTCTTATGTGGTCTGGAGATGTCCTGAGGGGCCCCTGACTGATCCCTGCAGTGTCCCTGGCCTTAATAAAGGCTCCAGTGCCCAATGGAGGGGTAGGTGGTGCCTAGAGCCCAGAGCAAGGCAGGTACAGGCTTGACACGCTCACACCTGCCCAAGGCAAATGACAGTCCTGCCCAGAGATTTGAGAGCTGGGCTAAGGAAGCAGGGTGGGACCTCTGAGCTGGCCAGGCCCCTCTGGGCTGAGAGTGAGCCCATTGGATCTGGGCTTTGCTCCCGGAGCTTAATTCTCTTCTCCTTGACTATAGGGTGGGGGAATATGGGTGGGTGGGAGAAGAGCTCTCTTGCCTCTTATCTTTGGATGTGCTGTCTCTAAAGTGTGAGGTCTGCTCTCTAGGGAGAGGAGGAGAATTTCTCCAATTATTCCTTCAATCCCTCAAGACTTGTTTACCTTTCTTGTAACAGAAAGAGGAGGTAGGAGAGATGGGCAGTATGAGGGAGGGGGGGAGGAAAGCTCAAGAAGCAGTAATAGGCAAGAGAATCAGGAAGGAAAGGGACAAGAGATTCATCATGGAACAGTGGAAAAGGCACTGGCTCTGGGTTCAAATTCCACCTCTGAAGCCTACTACCTGTATAATTGTGGACAACTCATTAACTCCCCAGGCCTTAGTTTCCTCATCTGTAAAATGATAGGATTAAAGGTCCGTTCTACCTTTAGATCTATGATCCTATGAATTGCCAGATAGGAAGGAAAGAAAAGTATGAGAGGTGTACCAGTGTCACCCCAAATACAGTGGCTGGGGTCAAGGGTAGAGATGCCTTTTTTCCATGCTGTCCTATAAAGCAAACTCTTCCAGCCCACATGCTCTTGATCCTGCCCTGTAACACCATGGTTTTTCCCAAAGCCAAGGCAACGGTAAAGCCAGGCCTGGGGTGAGACCTGGCCACAGGGCAGAGGGAGGGCAGCTAGAGCTGGAAACCAGACTGGATGCCATCCAATGAATTTATTTACATTTAGTCTGAAATTAATGCATGAAAGCAACAGGGTCAGAGAAGATGAGCTGAGAGAGACTGAGGAGGGAGCAGGAGAGGGAGGGATGCAGAGAGAGAGGAAGGAGAGGGAGCAGAAGGGAGAAAGGAGAGGAAAGTGAGGAGAAAGGCAAAGGGGAAAGGAAGGGAAGAGAAGGAAAAGAAGGAAAGAAGAGTGAAGTGAGAGGGGCAAGGAGAAAAGAAGATGGAAGGAGAAAGGAAAAAGGGAAGAGTAAAAGGGGAGAGGAAAGGAGAAAAGGAAGAAAGAGAAAGGGGGAGTGAAGGATGAGAGGCAAGGAGGAGAGAGAAAGGAAGAAAGGTCA